GACAGGATCTCTCTGTATAGCTCTGGATGTCCTGGAACTCCCAAGTGCTGTCCAATACTTTTAAGAACGAGAATGTAACAAACATTGCAGCAACATCTGACAGGAGCATTTGTTGCCTTTTAAGAGAAACAGAGGAACCAAGTATGGATGTGAATTCAGACATGCAGCTCACAGTACAGCTGTGCATCGCTGGGTGGCTGTGCCCTAGAGGCGACCATGCAGGTGACATCAACTTGAAGAGGGTGTGAACCCCAGCAGCTGCTCAATGGGTTTAAACCGCCACTCATCAGCTTCCAGCTCTTCCACCAAACCAGCCAGTTTTTCCATCCGAGCAACCTGCTGATCTGTAAAGAGTTGAGAAGTGACAGAACACATAGGGCATTTCCCATGAGACTGTCACCAATCACCAACATGACAACTGGTCTTAATCTGTAGATGGACTTTCCACTTGTGATTTAGTAAAGGGGTCTTTTTTTAAGTAGGTCCTGAAGACTAATTTTTGAAAAAAACAAAAACAAACAAACAAAACCCAAACATTTCCACTATTCTCCATTCATCTGCATTACTTCTTCCCTTTGCTTGCAATTGTGCAGACTGAAACCAGGGTCAAGTGCCCCAACACCGAGCTGTGTCAGCTTCCATGTGCACTGCCCTTTTTGTGTGTGTGCACATGTACGAGCATGTATGTATCATACATATAGGTGTCTTCCTGAACCCATTCATTCTCATTGTTATTTTTTATTATTTATGTAATCCCCTGGAACAAATTATAGATAGTTGTGAGCCACCATGTAGGTGCTATAAATGAAACCCAGGTCTTCTAGAAGAACAGCTAGTGCTCTTAAATGCTGAGCCATCATTCCAGGCTCTATCTGAATGTTCTTTTTTCTCTTGCTGTGCTAATCCAGCCAAGTCTGTCATCCCTTTATCTCCCTTCAGACTCAGCCCTCTCCATAACCAAATCTCAAGAGGGCGCTTCCATATTCTTTTTTTTTTTTTCAGTCTGGAAAGCTGTTTGCTTGTTTGTGTATGTGTATTTTTTTCCGGAGACAGGGTTTCTCTGTGTAGCCTTGGCTGTCCTGGACTCGCTTTGTATACCAGGCCTCGTACTTAAAGAGAGCTGCCTGATTCTGCTTCCCTGAGTGTTGGGATTACAGGCATGTGCCGCCTCAGTGGCTTGGAAAGCTTTTTACATTAAAATAATTTTCAATACAATTATTAAGAAATACAGGTGACTCTCTTGAGAAGTCCACACCCATACTTGGGTATGTACTCTCCTATTTCTAAGGGTCTCTCTTTCTAGTGCACATGTACTACCATGTCCTTAAATCTACAGTAAAAACTTCCTTTCCCCACAAAAGGCAAGCAGGGTTTTATTGCTATAGCAAAATAGCTCCCTGTAGCAAGAGAGGCACTCGAAGCCAGTTGCCCTAAAATTTCTTAATAAATTCTCTTCTTCATTTAAAAAAGAGAGGGGCCGGAGAGATGGCTCAGAGCACTTTGTGCTCTTACAGAGGACCTGAGTTCAATTCCCAGCACCTATATCAGGTGGCTCACAATCACTTGCGACTCCAGCTCTAGGAGGATCTGACATCTCTAGGTTCTTGAGGCACCTGCTCTCACTTGTAAAAACCCACACACAGACTGCATACATACATGTATAATTAAAAAGAAGAAAAAAGAAGAGAGGGCGAGAGCATGAAAGAGACAGACAGAAGGACACACTCATGTAGAAGCAGTGAGGAAGGGGAGAGAGACAGACACAGATAAATACACACACACAGACAGACAGAGAAAGAGAGGAGGGATGGAGGGAGGGAGAGAGAGAGAGAGAGAGAGAGAGAGAATAAAAGAAGCAAGGAGTACTAGATCAAGCCTAGCACTTGAGAAGTGGAGGCAGGAAACTGGTCAGAGTTCCAGGCCAGCCTGGACTACATAGTTTCAGAATGAGAAAATAATAATAATAATAATAATAATAATAATAATAATAATAATAACAACAACAACAACAACAACAACACAGTTTTTACAGGCTGGGGATGAGCCCCAGTGCTAGAACATGCCATGCTCTTTGTTTGAGCCCTGGTACTGTAGAAATTAAAAGAAAAATTACCATCACCACACTCTCATATGTGCTAGACTTTAACAACTGGAGATGGACTTAGTGGTTCACGCGTATAACGCAAGTACTCAGGGGCTGCTGCACAAGGTCTTAGAGCCTGAAGCCAGCCATCACAAGACCATCTAAAAACAAAAATGCAACATAAACAGGTTATGCCACAAGGACTCTTCTTAGACGTTCTCATGGTGTCTCACAGGACGTATGGTCAGAAGGGGAAATGGTACCCTGATGCATAAAGGAGACTTGGTCACCCATGGCTCAGGGTTTAGAGGCTAAGGCTACAGTGTCTAGTGCTACAGACACTAGAGGAAGGTGCTGCATGAAGGGAAGTAGTAAAAGGTCACAGAAAGGAGAGGTAAAGGCAACAGGAGCAGGAAGCCGTGACTCACTCCCCTAGAGAACTGAACCTATCAAACCTCCAAGTAGATTTTCAAGCTGGACAAGATCTTAGCATGTTCTTCACTAGGAAGTCCTCTTTAAACCTTTCAGAATTTGTGTCCCTTGTGTCCCATGAATGTACAGGACAGAAGCTCACGTACTTACCGTGTTTCACCTGTTTAAGTGTGGATGCCACTTGATAACTGAACACTGATTCACAGAGGAACCTCTCAGAGCCATCTACAAGAGAAAAGGCACAGGTGTTATAGCTTTAACGGTTTCTAGAAAAGCACAGAGGCTGTCCATCCTTTCCCTGCCTCTACACTTGAGGCCTAAGGTGTTTCTGGTGTGAACAAGGAATAAGTGTTCCTTTAGAACACTGCTCTTATGTAAGAGCTACCTCTTCTATACCTAGAATATTAAAATAGTCTTTCTTGTTTGAGAATTCAAAAATAGTGTTTCGAAAACAAAAACAAGAAGCCAAAGCCTGATGACCTGGGCACCACTGCCCACTTCCTGACCTGCTCTTTTCTGTATAGCAGGCAAATGAGGGAGCTGGCACACCCAGCTTTGTGGTATTTGTGTGCCCTTACTTGTGACAGAACTCCAATCACTTTCATTCTAGAAGACAGAGCCATGAGAAAAATAACTGTTGACTTTTAGTATATAAAATTACACCATCAAGACCATCATGAAACCCTGCTGGGAAACTTCATTCTGTAAACACAAAATGCAACCTTGATTTTCCAAATGAACCAAGCACTGCAATTTAAATGGTGATAAGGGAATGGTGCAAGTTCAGAATTGGGCTCTGAGCTGGTGCTAACGACTGCCAACAAGAAGGTGGCTGGCTCAGTTACAATGCTCATTGGTGGAAAGGCTGATCCCGCAAAACACATCCCCAAAGACACAATTCATGCAGGAACATTCCATGTTTTAAAGGGCAGCAAACTCCCCAGGCCAAGTGTTTTATTGCCAAAATTCTCAAACAAATGGAAAGAGAAGACACAGGTGTCCTCTCAAGGTGGGAGTTCACACCAGCACTGCTAGATGTCAGTCCTTACTCATTAGTCATGGATTGCTGTGTCTTGGGTATTAAGTGACAGGGAGACACTAACATACTCCGGCCTCATGCTGAGTTTCAGGCAGCAAACCTTTCTTTACAAGTCCCGGTAATCAAAAGGAAAAATACAGATACTGACTCTGAGTGGTGTGAACAATAACAAAAAGGGCTTCCTGCTAATACTATCTTCAATTCAGTGCCAGAGAAAGAGAGCCAGGGATAGAAAGACAGATGTGTGTGTTTGTGTGTATGTGTTGATATATGTCACTCTTAGGATAAGTAGTCTATTAAGTTCAAGTCTTTTTTTCCACCCCTGGCTTTTCAATCTTGAGGTGGTGGAGGTCAAGCCTAGAACACTGCCATGCCAGGTATACCCCTTGCTTCTGACTGGAGTAAAGACAAGCTCATGATATCATCAAGTGTATCTAGGTAAGAGCAGACAGCAGTGGGAACTTCAATGCAATTTATTATGTTCTTGCATGTAAACACATTAGCATCCTTCTTAAAGAACTCAACTACAGCTCAGGGTTTACTTTGCAAAGAACAAAACAGAGAAGTAGAGCTGGCCCACCAAGTGGTTTGATCCTGAACTGCAGGAAGTGGGAATTATGGACTGGTAAGGATCAAGTAACGTCTGGGGAGGCTCTTGGAAGTGCTGCCTTCCATCCTCATGAAATCAATAAGATAAGGTGCTAAAGTTATCACACTGGCCTATCCTTCTTGGTAATGAATTCCAAAGAAAGACAGAAGCTCACCTTTCAAAAAGGTGTCTTGGTATCACTCTCCCACACTTGAGGCCTTAGCACGCATTCCTGAAGCTCTGCATTAACTACAAAACCCACTGCTTCTTAAACAACATCCTATCAGATGTAGCATCTACCAATCTAAAGGCTGGGATTTCTCCAGAGAGAATGACTCCAGAGAGAATGACCTGAGACAACATGTTTATAATCATCAAGACAGTCAGTAGTGTACCAGCTTTCCTCTTAAGGGACAAGCAAAGATTTTATGTGCTGAAAAAGTTCAGTAAACAGCCCCAATTTAACTCTATCACCAATTCCATTAAATCAATGCTAAGAAAATTCATTTAAAAGGTATTACTTCACAGTAGGAAATGAGACAATCTCAGGTGATTTATATATCAGTGACCTGTGAGGTCCCTAAAATAACAGCCACTTCTGGGCTGGAAGGTAGCCTGTAATTTGCTCGCTAATGACTGGCTGAGAACAATCTTAGCCAAGGACAGGAGACTGGTAAAGCTTGCTGTGTGCTGCTTTTAGCAGACAGCAGATGCACCAAGACGTTTCTCTGAGATTAGTGCAGGTTGCTGAAATTTATACCCTAGATTTGGGAGTAGGCAACATCAAGTTGAACCTGTTGGGATCATGACCTAACCTTGACTCCTAAATGCTTTTGTGCTTTCCTCTCAAAGGCAACCTTTGGAAAGTCTCGGTCTTTGCCCAGGTTGGCACGGAAGTCTCTATGTAGCCCAGGCTTTCATTGAACTCACAGCAATTCTCCTACCTCAGCCTCCTGGGTGCTAGGTTACTTGACTCTATCAACATGGTTTATTTCTATTTTCTTCTTCCATTACACTAATGGAAGAAAAATGGGAGCTGGGGATGTAGCTCAGCTGGCACTGTTGGGTTTGGTCCCCTACATGGAACAAACCAGAATAGTAGTATATGTCTGTAATCTCAGCACTTGGGAGAGAAAAGGAGGAGGATAAGGAGTTCATGGAGTTAGAGATCAGCCTAGACTACACAAGACTAAAAAAAATCTACAACGAAGAATAATTAAAATGCTTTGATGCACACATATTTATGTGCAACAGTACACACTGAACTCTGACATCACATTTAGGAGTGCTACATGGAATAAATTATCTGTAAGTACCATGTCGTTTCACATGAGAAACCTGAGCACCTGTTGATGTCTGTATCCATGGAGATGAGGCATGGGTGTGGAATAGAGGCGGTATAACACGGGAGGTGAAGCACAACCAAACCCCAGCAGATACTGTGGGGTACTGGTGGTCTTTTCATTTTCTTAAAATTGACATTTATTTATGGGTACTCATGGGGAAGTCAGAGAACAACTTTTGGAAGTCAGTCCTCTCCTTCCACCATGAGACCCAGGGATTAAAGTCAGGCTTGTTGGCAGGTACCTTTTACCAGCTGAGCCATCTCACCGGTCTCTCTTCTGTTTTCTCAATATTAAACAGTATGTCAGATACTTGATTTGGCAAAGTCAGTTGTTTTTCAGTCTGTCTTTAAGGGTAAGCAGCTTTTAAAATCACTGGAGACACTTGGACAAAAGAGGGCCACAACTGTGCACTGTGAAGGTAACTGTGCTAAATCCATGCTATATTAGAACTCACTCAATTCCTCAATGAGGTAATGAAAATGGCCAGATAGAAACCTGTTAGGACATTAGCTTAAGACTTATATGACTTGAAGCAGTGTTAAGCATGGATTCTCTTCTGCTCTATAAAGCTCATTAAGAGCTTGAGTGCCTTCAACTTGTCATTTGTTTTGTGGCAAACTTCCTTAACCACATCTCTGCTGCAGAAAGCTGAAGTTGTCATTTACTTTTAGTGCCAAATAGGGACACTACGTCCAGTCAGACTTGGTGATACCAACTTGGATAGTAACACAAATGGAGACAATAAAAAAGCAAGAGCAGAAGTATGCATGCCTGAGAGGCCACCTTCTATACCACACCTGGCCTGCTGCTTCCCTACCAATTAGATGCAAACCACCCCAGAGCCTTGTGTATTAAAGTCTGCCAGGCATGCAGCTGGGTCAAAGAGTGCTTGTCTAGAATGTATAAGGCCATTGGGTTCAATCCCCAACTCCACAAGAAAAAAGAATCAGTTATACTGTTTGTCATAGTTTAACTCAAAACTTTTTTTTTAATCTTTTAATGATATATTTTTAATGATATAAATACATAATGATCACCCCAAAAAAGCCAGCCTCCAAATATAGTTTGTATCTTTCTCAGAGACATCTCCTAATTAATTTAAAATATATTCATGCAAATACACAAGATTTAAAGCAAAAAAAGGGATCATTTTATAATTCAATACAAAAATGCTTGACTCAAGTGGATTTTGAGTCGTTGATGAGGTATGTGTTTTCTTTTTTTTGGTCAGTTTTTTAAAATATGAGAAGACTCCCTCATGAGAATGTCCTGGACATTGTCCTAGGCTAAATCAGGATCTCGAGGGCCCGAATGTGTCACATGCCCAGGCATGTGCATTTTATCTTTTTAAAAAAGAAAAAGGGTCTCTTTGTACAGTCCTGGTTGGCCTACATACAGTTCAGAGATCTGTCTGCCTAGCAAAACATGCTCATTTTAAATGTCTTCATGAGTTTTATGCTCCTACAATGAATTACCTGTCTAGCATAACATGAATCTGATGCATTCCAGTCATCAGTGGTGTTTCATGACTACTGCCTGTGACCTATTTCTGGCCAGCCAGTCTGCAAAGGTGTGATAAGATGGTGGCTGCAAATCTGTCTCTAGTGCTATAAAAACCATAGTGTCACACAGCGATGTGGGCCCTAACAGTCACCTTCACAGAGCTTTTATTTCCCCTTCAGGCCTCTCTGGTGGGGTTAATTTATCTGTAGACACTAAAAAAAGGAAATATATCAAACAGGTGTCAAAACAAGTCAAGTCAAGAGGTCAATAAGGTTCCTGGCTCCAATGCTAATTCTGGTCAGTTACTCAGAAGCTTTGGCTTAAAGAAATCCAGCCGGAATCTGAGTCCTGGCTTCTTTACATTGCACATGCACTGAAGGTCTAACGCTAATTACTCAGCAAATGCAGCATGAGATCACCTTCTAACATCTCTCCAGCTCCTTTAGGATAGGTGAACAGAGCTTTCCGTGGTGGGGCAAGGTCTGACACACTGAAACCAGATCCAGTGACAGAACTTCCACTGACCCCACCAGCTGAAGACGAGGATGAGGAGGCAGCCATTCCCTCCAGTAGAATTCTCTCTTCACTAGAGGAAAAAAAACAAAAAAACAAAAAACAAAAAAACAGCAATTGACAAGTTTATAAAAAACAGATCAACAATATTTCGTTTTAGCCCAGCAGGGCTAGTTTTTCCTATCCTCTATCCTTACACAGTCTTTTATAATGTTACCTGGGTTTTGAAGTAAAAACAGGTTTAATAGCTTGCAAACAGGCATGGTGGTGCACGCCTTTATTTCAAGCACTTGGGAGGCTGAAGCAGACAGATCTCTGAGTTTGAGGCCAGCCTGCCTGGTCTATAGAGCAAGTTCTAGGACTGCCAAGGCTACAGAGAAACCCTGGCTGGAGGAAAAAAAAAAAGGCTTCCTCTTTAAAGACTCCTACTTTCCCCTATTAGCAAACTGTGCCATTTGAGATTGAATGTGGCTAATTTATAAGTTATGAAGGTAGTGCCAAGGCAGAAATGGACCAAGGATAAAATAATACTGCTCCACAGGATAGTTTGTCTTGGGTACATTTCTCACCAAATCATACCAAGAAGTTCAGTTATCAAGTTTTCCAAGTAGAAGTTCAGAATAACACTGTGTTCTCTTCCCAAGGAAGGGAGATCAGTTAGGAAATATGTTTTGGCACTTTCATTAAGAGATTGTTAAAACCTTTTCATCTACATGTAATGCCTAAATCTAACACTTGATGGCACCCAAAAACTGGAACAAAATAATTCAGGAATTAATCTCAGAAACCATGGCTGTTTATGAATTCAGCATCTGTGGGCATTCTGTGTCATATCAGAAAACCCAGACTGAATACATGATGTCCCACAAAACTTTAGAACAAGATATGGCCTCAAAAGCATAGGAAGATTATAAAGTGAATGATTTAAAAATGTTTAGTACCATGATTATGCAATCTAGAACACTGTTACCATGGAAATGTTCTGACAATCTAGGTCTGTCCAATATGGCTCTGTCCAACATGAGCCTCAGGTTGTGCCTGTTAATGTAACTGAGGAGCTACATATCTCCATTTTTTAAATGTTAAATAATATTTCAACAAAAGTGGTTAGTAGTTTCTCTCTGGATAAAGATTCTAGTATTTAAGTAAACAAATGGCTTTACATGGGGAGTAGTGGAGTACACTGATATGTTCCTGTTACAGAGGAGGCTAAGGTAGAGGATTGTGAAGCCTGGACTACATAGCCAAGAGTGTGTTTCAATAACAAGAGACACTGGATAATTTTTATATTACATAGATTTTAGCATTTTAAAAAAATGGCTACTTACTTATTTATCTATTTATAGAGAAGGTCTTTTTTCTCTTTTTTTGAGACAGAATTTCTGTGTGTACTCTTTGCTGTTCTACACAGAGGTATGTCTGCCTCTATCTCCCCCAGTGCTAAGATTACAGGCGTGTGCCACCGCACACGAGGCTAGAGGATTTGCTAGCCTGGAACTTACATACCTTGGCCCAGCCTTAATGAAACTCATGGCAACCTACACTGTGTCAGCTTCCCAAGTGTTAGGATTACAGCCATGTGCCACCACGTGTGGATTAAAAATGATCTTTAAAACAAACTCTCCAGGGCTGAGGATGCTGTCCAGTTAGCAGTGCTTGCCTAGTATATGGGAAACCCTGGGTTCAGTTTATAGCACAACATAAACAAGGCATGGTGGTACAGAAGTAAAATTCTGGCACCTGGAAGGCAGAGATGGGAGAATCAGAAGCTCACTGTCATTTTTGGTTATATATCAAGTTCATGGCCAGGCTGAGATACACAGAATCCCTAAAAAACCCAAAACCAACATCAGCAAAACCCATGACTCCCCTCTCATGGTCAGGAAGAATTTTGCTGAATAGTTTTTACTTATTTTCCCTCTAGAAAAAGTTAAAGGTTTGGAAGAGCGCAAGTTTTGAGCATTTCATGCTCTAGTTTCAATTGTAAATGATTGAAAAAAATTTAAAACAGAAAATACTAGAGAATGCTATGTTACTATAAATCCTTTATGTCCAGAGCATCTAGTGTCCTTCTAAGGAAAATGACATGATGTTTGAGATGGTGGCTGCTGTGTCCTAACTATGTGGCAGTGACATGTAGTTGCCAGAGAAGCAGAGCCTGGTATCTAGTTCCATCATGTGGTTGGTCATAGATTGTACTGATGAACAGTGATGTAGGGAAAGGAAATGGTAAGGCTGTTATCAGACTATCAGCTTGTTATAAATGCAAATTAAAAAGCTATTAAAAACAAAGACACCATGCAATTTGTAGGCAAATGGATGGAACTAGAAAATATCATCCTGAGTGAGGTGGTTACCTTCATTCAGACCCAGAAAGAGACATATGGTATGTACTCATTTATAAGTACATATTAGCCATAAAGTACAGGAAAACCATGCTACAATCCACAAACCCAAAGCAGCCAGGGAGGGCCCAAAGGAAGATGCTCGAACCTCACTAAGAAGGGGAAGTAAAATAGACATCCGAAGTAGATAGAAAGAGGGAATGGGTGTAAGAGGGGGTGGAGAGGGTAATGGTAACTGGAAATCAGGTATGGGGAATGGGAATGGGGGGTGAGAGAAGACCAGGAGAGAGAACGGGAATCGGTGTATGTGCCCTGTCTCTCTGGGAGGAGAAGCTCCTGGGAATCTATGAGGGTGACCCTAGCTGAGACTTCTAGCAGTGGTGAATATGGAGCCTGAAGTTACCAGTGGAGGGAGGGAGACACCAAACCACCCATAAAACCTTAGACTTGCCTATTAGAAGTGTAGGGATAAAGATGGAACAGAGATTGAGGGAATGGCAAACCAATGACTAGCCCAACTTGAGACCTACCCTATGAAAAAGAGCTAACCTCTGACATTATTAATGATACTCTGCTATGCTTGCAGACAGAAGCCTAGCATAACTGTTTCCTGAGATGCTTCTGCCAGCAGCTAATGGAGATAGATGCAGAGATCCACAGCTAAACAATAGGCTGAGCTCTCGGCATAGGAGGAAGGATAGAGGGATCCTGGAGAGGTCAAGAACACCATAAGAAGACCTACAGAGTAAACTAACCTGGGCCCATGGTGGCTCAGAGACTGAACCACCAAGCTGGACCTAGACCCTCTACACACATGTAGCAGAAGTGCAGCTTGGTCATCATGTGGGTCCCTACTAATGGGAGTAGGGGCTGTCTCTGACTCTGTTGCTTGCTCTTGGATCCCTTTCCTCTAGCTGGGCTGCCTTTTCTAGCCTCAGTGGGAGAGGATGCACTTAGTCCAGCTGCAACTTGAGGTACACGGGTGGGTTGGTACCCCTTGGGGGACTCCCCTTCTCTGAGGAGAGGGGGTGAGGGGGTGATAAGGGTAGGACTTGGAGGAGTGAGGGGGCTAGGGTCAGGCTGTAAATGGATTAAATAAATAAATAAATAAATAAATAAATAAATAAACAAATGGGAAAACTTATACTAAAAAATGTGGTAACACATAGATTAATATGAATGGGTTAACATAGATGATAAGATCTAGTTGTTAAAACAGGCCTAAGGCTATTATAAATAAAAAGAAATGCAAAGTAAATAATGATCTTGTTCCTTTTTTTTTTTTTTTTTTTGAAACAATCTCACTGTGTAGTCCTGGTTGTCAGGATGGCTTCAAATTCAGAGTTCCATCCGCATCTTAGTGCTGGTATAAAAAGTGTGGCCATCCATGCCCAGCTCATTGATAATGCTCTTAATTTTGCTTTTAGGTTACTTTCAGAATTGACTTGTATTCATTAAGGAAAGTAATTTTTCATGTGGAATTTAAGACTGCTCCTTTGTACCACAATGACTAGGAATGTAGCCTGGTAAAGTTTAAATTTTCCTTAAAAAGACTTAAGTATTAATGAATGGTGTCCAAGTCACTAAGCTATCCCTGGTGGGATTCAAATGAAGCATACAGACCACTTAGCCTCTCTCTGGAGAGCAGCTCTGGCTTTACTTCCCCCCAGTTCAGAGCAGAACCCACTAGGAACTGTTTATTCTTCTCAACTAAGACTTTAAATTCTGATCTTCTCAACTTCCACCCTGGTAATATTCTGTTTAGTTGCTAATGCTTTGTATTTTGTATTTTGAGATCAGCCGCTCCACAGAGCACCCAAGTGCCTGCCAGTTAGCTTCAAAGGCTAGCCATAGTGACTATTCTAAGCTGAAGGTCATCAAAGGAAAGTCCTTTCATCCTATTTTCTTCCTAATTCTCAGAACAAAAGCTCCATATACAAAACAGTCCGGGTGGAAAACAATGCAGAACCAGCACAAGGTTCACTTAAAATCAGCTGTCTTCTGCGGAGATGGAGAGACACACTTGTGAGACGCCCGGTTCTAAAGATTTGTTTAAGGTTTGTTTCTTTCTTTTCTTTCTGGTGCTGGAAATGAAAACCAGGCCCTGTGTCTGTTAAGCACATGTTCCACCCTGAGCTATACCTCAGTCTCTAGGTTTTGGATGTCACCATTAAGGGGTAAACAGAACAACAAAGCCTAGATTATAAATGTTGAGCTTAGGGTTAACTAAGCAGCCACATACTTAAACATGTTCAGAGGATGCTTCTGTAGTTCACAGGGAGCCCTGATTTCCTAAAGGTCAGTTAATTCTTGAAGCAATGTCTTATTTTTTTAATTTTTATTTTTTTTAAAAGAGTTATTTATTTATTATGTATACAATGTTCTGTCTGCCTGTAGACCTGCATGCCAGAAGAGGGCATCACTTTTCATTATAGATGGTTGTGAGCCCATCATGTGATTGCTGGGAATTGAACTCAGGACCTCTCGAAGAGCAGCCAGTGCTCTTAACCTCTGAGCCATCTCTCCAACCCTGCAATGTCTTGTTGATGTGCTGCTGCTGCTGTGCCTGGCTGGTTAGCACAGTGATTAAGGACTACGGTGGAGTGTTGAAGAGTTGGCTCAGAGGTTAAGAGTGTTTGCTGTTCTTGCAGAGGACTGGAGTTAGGTTCCCAATACCCATGTTTGGTGGCTCATATATACCTGCAACTCCAGCTGTGGAGTACCTGCTGCCCTCTTCTGACCTCTTGCTCTCTCACTCTCTCACATACACATACAAATAAGTAAACTTTAAGAACTGACTACTATTAAAAACAAAAAACCAAAAACCTGCTTGCCTGGGTCTGTATTCTGGCTTTGCTATGTGACTGGACAAATCAGTTAACTTTTCTGTTCCTTGGATGCCTCACCTATAAAATGGAATCAATAACAGTATCTACCTTACAGAAGTGTTATGAAGATTAAATACAGGCTTAGCAACTAGAATAGCTGCAGGCTTAGAAAACACTACTTCTTAGACCAAAAACAAATCAGTAATAGATACTGGCTCTTGATTTATTTATTTTTTTTTTTTTTAGGGCTCTTGCCTTATAGCCCAGGGTGGTCTTCAATTCCAGATTCTCTTGGTTTGGCCTACTATTACAGATATGCATTACCACACCCAGATTTCCCTATGCAGATCCAGTTTTTTTTTCATACTTATTATGTTCCAACACATACAGAAGGTTCAAATTCTCTTTGAAACAGCTATGTTAAACTTCTGGAAGGGTCTGCTCAGGATGCAGACAGTATTATCTATTAAATACTTTACACATTCTAACACTGGGCTACATCCTCAGTCAGTACATTCACTTTTGTTTATGATCTTATTAAGAATCCTGCATTGGGGCTGGGGAGATGGCTCAATGGATGAAGTGCTTGCTCTGGAGGAGTTGGGGATCCTTTGAATTCACTTAAAAGCTTTGAAGGTATGGCAGCTGCCTGTAAATCCCAGCACTTGGGAAGGAACACTAAGTGATTCCCATAGCAAGATGGTTAGCTAGGTTAGCAGCAATGGACCATTCTGAGCTCAGAGAAGGTATGAAAAGCTATGAAGACAGCAGACATGGCTTCACGCCTCCACATGCATGGGAACTCACACATGTAAAAATCTAACCTGCGATCTTGGATCTAGCGATATACAGTTCAGTGGTTGAACATTTGCCTCAGCATGTGTGAGGCAGTGAAAAGAATCCTGTGATTTTGGAAAGCAAAAGACAAATTACCTTTGTATGCCTGAGGCACCGTATAAAACCCTTACCGCAGTGTTTCCTGGGTGAATGATTTATACATAGAACAAGAGCTGGCAGCTCAGCTTAGACTTCCGGGGTCAGGCACGGTTGGAGTCATGAAGGTCAGTCCGTTCTACCTTCTTTTCTTATAGTTTGAAGTACACAATTCTGCCTTCTAGGAGACTACCAAGCCCATAGGAGGCACTCAGTAAAAATTTCCTAAATGCTGCTGATGAAGTTTCGGCTGAAGTCAGCAGAAACGCTCATCGAAGAAATAATGGTATTTGTTGGACACGGTAGGGCTTGGTTAAATACTTACTTTGTGTACGACAGAGATGACCTTGTACTCATAAATTACTTTCCGCTTATTTCTTAAAACAAAACAAAAAAAGAGATCCTTCGTAAAATAAATCTCAGAACAAACCAGACGCTTAAGTCGATTTGGAGCCTGTGCGGAGGCTAATTATGACAACCGTTGGGTTCTACCAACAATGATTCCAGTGCGTTCCACCTGAACAAACGGATCACCATACAAACCAAATTGATGCAGCAGCTCTCTCTCTGGGGGGAAATGAAGAAAGGTGCTGGAAATGGGAAGTGCAGCACACAAGTCCTAGCCACGCTAACTCCACCCAAGGCACGCTCCCCCCACAGCAATTCGTGAGGAAGCCAAGGATCGCGGCCGCTCCACTGCGCAGGCGCCAATCCTCCGCCCGCACGTTCAATCGGAAGAAATCGCCTTTGCACACGCCCCGCGCGGGAGAGCCTCCAGGGTCTCTTTCCACCTTCTCAGTCTTGGCAGGTAGGATCGTAAAGGCCAACACCTCACCGAAGGTTCTGGAAGCCTGGGCTACTTACCTCAGTAGCTTGTGCACTCTGACCGACGGCCCCGCCCCCTGATCGAGCAGCACGGCCTCGTTCACTACGCGGTAGACAGCGGCCTGCGCGCGCCCACCTGGGCTATGGGATTTTTATGTCAGCGTGCGCCGGCTCCTGTGGCTGTGCGTTTATAGGGCAGCGCCAGCACGCATGCGTGGAGTGGGCGTGACCGGAGTTGAACCAGCGCGAGCTCTCCGAGAACACTTCCGGGTCACTCTGTGGTGGTGTTTTCAGGCGTAGGGGCTTTTATTTCCTTTTATATTTTTGAACTTAAGCATCTCTCACGATAATTACAGGAAAGTCATATATACTTCTCCGTCTCCAAACCTCTATGACACAGGGCTAGTCCGTTTTCGTCCTTGAAAATTAGATAAGTATGCACCACAGCCACTTCCTGCTCAGAACGAAACTTTATAAAGGCTACTTTTGTACAGAACTTGTTTTTTGAAGTGGAAGGGGGAAGCGGAAGGGATGCTAAAGGACTACCACACCAGGGTGCCAAGTCATAAGACTGTTGTTAATTGCTTCAACGTTGACTTTCTGTGCTTTCATAACACAAACCTCATTCCCTCCCCAATCCCACCCTCCCTTACTGATCTAATTTTAAAAAAAGATAAAAGGAGGATTTATTTTTCAGGACTTTACCGGAATATCGTCTGGCGAAAGTGTCATGGATGTTTTACGTCCACAGCTTATAACAATCGATGGACGGAATTATAGAAAGAATCCTATCCAGGAAAAAAGTTACCGACATGAAGAAGATGAGGGTTTCTATCAAGGTAGTCCTAGTTGCTCTTAGGTCAGATGAGAAGTAAAATGTTCTTTGTACTGTGGGCAGTTCTTTGTTTTGCTGCTGTTCAGTGGTTCTGACAAACTTGATCTCAAATGAGGCATTCTTGGTTGCATTTCATGTGTCAAGATATATTTCATCTTGTACAGAGGCTTAAATGCCATGTGGAATCATTTTTTTCCATTTTTTTTTTAAAGATTTATTTGTTATTACTTATACAGCATCCTGCCTACATACCTGAAGAGGGTACCAGATCTCACTGTAGGTTGTTCTGAGTCACGATGTGCTTGCTGGGAATTGAACTCAGGACCTTTGGAAGAACAGCCAGTGTTCTTAACCTCTGAGCCATCTCTCCAGGCCCCTCTATTTTATTTTCAATGATGTGTTTGAGCCGTGTATGCTGTGTGTGTGTGTGTGTGTGTGTGTCTTGTGATTGTATGCATGTATATGTGTGTGTATGTGTGTGTGTACATGGGATCATGGGTGCCCAAAAAAACCAGAAGAGGGTATTGGATCCCCTGGAGCTGGACTTACAGGTAGTTGTGAGCCACCCAGTGTGAGTATTGGCATCTGAACTCAGGTCACCTACAAGAGCAGTAAGAGCTCTTGACTGTTGAACCCCCATGTGGAGTAATTATTAGTAATTATTGTTAGCTCTTAGTGTTCTGTGGCAAAATCAAGCCCCTTTATCTGTGAAATTGTAAACAAGGAATGATTGTCTTTTTTGTTATTTAAAAAAGTAAATTTATTTATTTATTTATTTATCTATCTATTTATTTATTTTTGAGGCAGAGTCTCTCTATTATGTAGCCCTGGCTGTCCTGGAACTCACTATGTAGATCAGGCTGGCCTTAACTTAATAGAGATCCACCTGCCTCTGTCTCCCCAATGCTGGAATTAAAGGGGTGCACCACCATGTCTGGCTAAGATATGAATTATTGAAATAAATAGGTGAAGGATTTAGTACAGTGTCAGATGATGTTAAATATTATGATTATGTTTTTTTCTTTGTAGTCATGTGTTAATAGTTCCAAAGACACAACTGTATTTTAACATACAGTAATTTTGTAAACTGAATAGTTGAGGTGGCTGATAAATATTTTCAGGGTAATGAAACCGTGAGGTTAGTGTTAATGCATAAACAGGGCCTCTCAGGTTCTTTGCAACTTTTCCTTTTTGGTTCCTGAGATTTTCCACTGAGCCCTAAACCTTGGGGATCACTTTCCCTTTGATTCTTTTTACTGTCTGCAGTCATCCTTGAGCTTTGAGGTCCTGTTTTTTATTCTGATTCTTTCTCTCCCCACCTCTCCTTACTACGTAGCTCAGGCTAGTGCTCTTCCTGCCTCAGCCTCCCAAATGCTGGGACTTCTTCAGGTGTATGTCAGTCTGCCTGGCCTCTCTTTTCTATGTTGAGATTTTATGGAATAAGTTCTCCCAGTATCATTCTTATTCATAATTTGTTGAAGTAATTTTGTATCATAATATTAAAAAGTACTGACTTCTAGACATAAAAAGGATTTGTTTTGTGTGAACTTCATCTCAACAGAACAATAGTAAAACATGTTTAGAACCTTAACTTTCTAAGAGAAAGCAGCTAAATATTTGGTATATATATACTGCTTTCCCAAGCTTCTGAGAATGAAGGCTTTAAAATAACTATTGTGTTCTTTTTATTATTTATTTTTTATGTATAAGTACTCTATCTGCATGTACATCTGCATTCCAGAAGAGGACAACAGATGCCAGTATAGATGGTTGTAAACCACCATGTGGTTGCTGGGAATTGAACTCAGGACCTCTGGAAGAGCAGAGAGTGCTCCTAACTGCTGAGCCATTTCTCCAGCTTCTTCTTTTTATTCTTTATTTCTCCTGTAAACACACTGGTACTAAAGCAATAGTCAGGCTGTTCTTTGTACTTGTACTTGCCTCCTTAAACCCAGAGAGCTAAGGAGGGGGCTGTTTTTCATTGAGCAGCGGCATTCAAAGGTGTTCTGGTTTCTTTGCAGACTCTATGGAATACTCTGATGAGCCCTGCGATGCCTATGAGGTGGAGCAGACCCCTCAAGGATTCCGGTCTACTGTCATTGCCCCTAGCCTGCTCTACAAGTGAGTGACTGAGTGCCCCATCAGTTTTAGGGAACTCAGCAGGAAGCCGCCTCTTCAGTCTGTCACATTTACTGTGATACTTGATTACTGATGATTAGAGTTTAGTGTTTTGTGTCCTGAAATGTCAGAGGACTGATTACAGATTAATATAATCATTTTGTGCTTATTGCCACATCCTGTTGACTTTTACTTTTAAATATCCTTTGACTCTACCATTTATCTTCACTGCTACCCCTTTCTTTTCTATGGATTTCTTTTAAAAAATATTTAACGTGTATGTGTAATGCTGCCATGTATGTATGTATGTATGTATGTATGTATGTATGTATGTATGTATGTATATGTGCACCTATGTGTCTGGTACCTAAGGAGAATAGAGGAGCTTGTTGAGACCTCTGGAACTCTAGTGAGGCACCTGATGTGGATAGCAGGAACTGAACCTGGGTCCTGTGCAAGAGCAGCAAGGGCCCTTAACCACTGAACCATCTCTTCAGCCCTTCTGTGGATTTTCTAAAATAGCCCTCAGTAGTCTCTCTGAATCCCTCATCTCTTTTTAGTGTACCTCGAATTGGAAGTGTAATGATTTAAAAGTAATTTTTCTTTTTTTTTGAGATTTGTTTTTCTGTCAGTTGGTATTTTGCCTGTATCTATGTCTGTGCACCACATGTATACCTGTGGAGGCCAGAAGAGGTCACTGTATTTCATGGAACTGGAGATGGTTCTTAGCCACAATGTTAGTTCTAGTAAACTAAACCAGGCCCTTTGGGAAAGCAGTCAGTGCTTTTGACTACTGAGCCATCTCTCCAGCTCCCTGCGTCCCCTTAAAAAAAAATGTTTTTGAGGCATAGTCTTTCTTTATAGTTGAGGCTGACATGGAATTCCTGAACTCCTGATCCTCCTGTTTCAGCCTTCCATTTATTGAGATTCCAAATGTGCATCACCTCACCAGGCTTGGAATAATATTCTTAAAAGGAAAATTTGATTATTTTACCACTTTTGCTTAAAGTCCACCTTTGGTGGCTGGTGAGATGGCTCAGCAGGTCAAGGCACTTAGCATAAATGCCTAGAAACCTGAGTTCATTCTGGAAACTTTGTAGAGGTGGACAGCAGAAACCAACACCACAGAGTTTTTCTCTGACCTTTGTTCAACATGCTGTGGCAGGCGTACCCATATATACACTTATGTATATGCACATGCACATTCATAATACACTAAAAAAACTCTGTCAGTGGTTTTCCACTGGAGATGGAATTCTGGTTTGTTAAAGCAATGGCCAAAATTATGATCATGCCTTAGGTGATTTTGTATTTTCCCTTTCCCTTCTTCCTTTTTTTTCCTCTCTCTCTGTAGCTTATATTACTTTTTCTCTGTCTGTGCTTAGGGTTAGAATACCCATCTGATTTTTTCAGTTCCTTCTATGTGCCCTGGTTTCCCTAGCCTTTGAGTTCGTCTGTGTGGTGTGCCTTTTGCTTCAGTCTTTTTTCTTACCTGGCTAAATTCTCCTTTCTAGAGAAGCTTGTTTTTCTCCTGGTCATCCCTGCCAATCACTGATTATCTTACTGTATGTGGATATAATGCCCCTAATTGTGGTTTGCAGCATTTATCATTGTCTGTGTTTGTATTTACCTATGTGCTGCTTGATGTCCCCTGTGGGAAGCTTCTCAAAGGCAGGGATGTATCTATTCCATTAATTCTTAGTGCTTATCAAGACTGTTATCTTTTTTCGAGGATCATCATTTTGAATTGCTTATGAACTTTGCTGTCACGTCAGCATATGCTTGTGCGCATGTTCTCTCAAGCTGTTCCTCACACAGTAGAATGCTATCAGCAGCTGAGCTTTTGGGCTTGCCTGGGAAGGTCAGCTGGTCTAAAAAGTACATCATTCCTTGCTGTTTTTCTGTTATACCAGATGAGTTAGGTCTGCCCTGGGTGGGATTGCTACAAATATATACTCAAATACATTTGAACCCTAGTAGTTCCTTTTTATCATCCTTGGGAACATTCTGAAATACCTATTGTGGATAATAACTCTCCTTGAATGTAGCCAAAAGGGAAACCAAAGCGAACCCTGACAGTTCACCTTCTTCCTAGAAAAGGCTGACATTTTCTCCTAGGAGACGTGATTTTAAAATGACATGACTCAGCTTTCTGGAAAAAAAAAAAAAAAGAAAAGAGTGTAATTCATCTTAATGTTTATAAGTGATACTGCTAAAGTGTGTCAGAATTTCTTAGATGTCTGATTCTGATGAGGACCTTTTGCATTCTGTGGACTCCTAAGTTCTTGTATTCCTGATGAACATATGGATGTTAGATTACATATTGGTCCTACTAAACCCTAATTAATAGATAATATTTACGGAGAAGACCCCTAAGCCCCAACCCTTTTCTTTCCTTTCTCTATTCCCTTCCCCTTCCAGTAGGGGCTCCAAATAGCCCAGACTGGGCTGGAACATGTAGTGTACCTGCTTCAGTTTCCCGTCTGCTGAGATTTCATGCGTGCTGGGAGATTCCCTATTTCATTTCTGTGGGCTTATTTGGGTCAAGGTTTTGCAGTGCTTGGGATGAAACCCAGGGCCTCTTTCCACATTGCTGGATAAGTGCTCTATCACTGAGCTGTGTCCCCAGCTGAACATCTCATTATTGGAAAAAACTGGCCTACTACAGTAGATATCAGTGGCTTTGTTATTCCATGTAAAGGCAGTTGACTGAGGACTACAGGCATGCTCCAGGAGTACAGTATAAGTGAGGTCTTAGGTTCAGTTCCTGAACACTTCTGTAAAATAATATTTTCAGACACTGTCAGCTGTGGTATTGGGTGTGTAATTGAAATAATAGAAGTTGAAATAATGTTGATGACAAGGGGTCTTTCTATTAGCTTTATCATCCTGTGATGGTTTCTTAGTGCTTTATAGATTCAGAAACTCTCCTAGCATCCAGTAGACTCATCCAATTAGTACTTCTAATACTGTAAGTTCCAAAAGATAACCTTGATTGTTAGTATTATTTATACTTGAGGCCCAGACAAGGAATTGGTAGTGAATGGCTGAAATGGGGTAGGTGAAAGCTGGGAGGGAAGGGTGGGAGTTGTATTAGTTTGTCCATTCTTCAGGGGGAGGTCAAAAGTTGGCTCCACTCTGATTGCTGTGAGTCATCAGATTTTTAGTATTTTAGAACCTGCACACATACAAATACAGTAACAATGTGTGTAGTATTAATATAATATTATAATATATTATATCTGTAGTGAAATCTCCCAGACAAAACATTAATATGTGCTGTGCTTAATTTGAGGGTCACATGCTTGCTTATGGTACCCTTTTTCTTCTTCCTGTTTTTGAAACAAGCTTTTTCCCCCTCTCTCCCTGTATTCTAGAATAGTCATGAACTTACTGATCTTCCTTCCTCAGCCTCCTAAATACTGAATCCAGATTAGCAAACATGGCTCTTTTTGTACATTATAAACCATCTGAATGGTAACTCCTGACCTCTTTTCTAAGCTCTTTACCCTTTGTGATTGACAGAGAATGGTCTCCATAGGCTTATATATTTGAAAGTTTGGTTCACAGTTGGTGGATTGTTTAGGAAAGATTAGGAGGTATGGCCTTGTTCAAGGAGTATAGTCACTCAGGGTGGGCTTTGAGGTATCAAAAGCCCACACTGGGCCCAGTCTCACTTACTCTTTACCTCATAGTTGTAGATAAGATGTGAGCCATCAGCTACTGCTGACAGTGCCATGCCTGCTTGCCCGCTGCCATGCTCTACACCATGGTGGTCATGGACTAACCCTCTGAAACTTTGAGCAAACCCTCAATTCAATGCTTTCGTGTATAAGTTGCCTTAGTCATAGAATCTTCATAGCAATAGAACAGTAACTAGGACACCCTGATTTAAACAATGTTGTAATAAATAAAAAATAAGTGAGCTGTTGGGTTACATATTGTTTATTATTAATCCTGAGATTATTATGGTGGTATTATTTAACCTGCAATCACAAATAATGAGGCACTGTTCCTAGACACCTGTTAGATTTTATAATTGCCTTATTTATCCTGGACTAGCAGATACTCCTACCTATGCTGTTTACCTACCTTATTATCTGTCTCCCAGCCCCAATCCAATGCCATCCACCTCAATCCTCCTCATTTGGTCTACCTTCCATCCATAATCACATTTGACTTGCTTGTATTCTACATCTGGGCTGTTTTATGCCATTATAGGTAGCTTCCACATGGTTTCTTCATGCTAATCCATCCTGGCGTCGTCCTTCTTCCTCTCTTCCAGTCTGTTTCCCGAGATTCTCTTGAACCTGAAGCCCAGGAACCCTAGCCACGCCTATCCCATTATCCCCTGCCCAGGTAAAGGTAGTTTAATCAACCAATCAGATATAATGACATAGGCAGGTTTACACAACAAGGATAGTTTTAACCAGATCTTGAGGGATAGCATCAGAACAACCCCCAACAGAACAATCAAGGTTAGTCCCTTGATTAACTTATAGTTAATTTTAGCTTATAAAATTAACTTATAGTTATTTTTTTTCTCCAAAGTAAGCAAACTTCTGCTTCAAACTGTAGATCCATTGGTAGCTGAAAGCACTATTTGAGACTGTGTCTGCTTTCTCTGGTTGCACTGCAGACCCAGATTTTGAATCTGATTTGAGAAGTAGACAGGTGCCAGGCATGGGAAATTCTGTTTGCACGTTGAATCAATGATGGCATCATTTTTCCTGTGAGTGAGGAAAGCATGTTCTATAAAGCTTAGTGACTTGTATTTCTCTATTTATATTGAACATCTACTGAAATGTTGTCCTAATTGGGAATATCTCTGGCCACATGGAACTTAAAACATGTATGTATATATATATATATATATATATATATATATATATATATATATGTGTGTGTGTGTGTGTTTTTTAAAATTATAGGCACATAGTTGGAAAGAGAGGGGATACCAAGAAGAAAATAGAGGTGGAGACTAAAACATCTATTAGCATTCCTAAACCTGGACAAGAAGGAGAGATTGGTGAGACTTACTTCTCTTTATGTTTTATAGATGTACAGAAACATACCCAACCTTTTACATTTATTTTGTGTGTGTGTGTCTGTGTCTATGTGTGGGTCATAGTACTGTAACATGGAGGTCAGAGGACAATCTACAGGAGTTGGTTCTCTCTTTCCAGTATGTATGTTCTGGGTATTTATCGCAGGTTGTCAGGTTTGAAGTGCCTTTATCTATTGAACCAACTCACTTCTTACTTCCAACCTCCACCCCTTTTTTTAGATAGTGTGTCATATAGCCCAGGCTGGCCTTAAATTTTACTATGTAAATGAGGCTGGCCTTCAACTCTTGATCTTTTTGTCTCCATTTCGCAAGTGCGAAAAGATTGGAGGCATTTGCTACCACTTGTGTCTAAGATACTTAAGTATTTGTGTGAGTGAGTGTTTGTTAAAGGTTCTTTGTGTGTGAGAGTATGTCTGTTAAAGGCTCTGTGTGTGAGAGTGTGTGTGTGTTGTGCACGTGTTCCTGTGGGTATGTATGCATCTGCACATCTGTGTGTGTGGAAGCCAGAGGTTATCAGGTGTTTTTCTTCCTCAGTTGCTCTCCATCTTATTTATCTATTTGTTAATTTTGTTCTCTCACTGAAACTGGAACTTGCTGAATTGTCTAGCCTAGCTGGCCAGCAAGCCCCCAGGACCCCTCTGTCTTCACTCCACCTCTCCTTCCCTATCTCCATCCCCTGCACTGGAGTTACAGATGTGCTCTCCACACTCAGGTTTTATGTAGATTCTGGGGATCCAAACTCAGGTCTTAGTGCTTGTGCTGCCAGCACTTTATGGGCCAAGCCACCTTCCTAGCCCCAGATACATTATTTTCAAGGTCATTGCTTCTATTAAACTCACTAGCAGCTTTCTTTGCTTTGGGGCTGCTGTCCCTGTCCCTCCCCCTAGCTTCATTCTCGTGCTCAGAGTCCTTTTAGTCCCCTAGAGTTACAATATCGGATGGTGTCTGCCTGTCTAGCATTTGTGGACTCTTGAATCTGTTGTTTTTTTTTTCCCCTCTTGCTTGCAGTAATCACTGGCCAGCATCGAAATGGTGTGGTTTCAGCCCGAACTCGGATTGATGTCCTTCTGCACACGTTCAGGAGGAGGCAGCCCTTCACTCACTTCCTTTCCTTTTTCCTCAATGAAGTAGAAGTTCAGGAAAGATTTCTGAAGTTCCAGGAGGAAGTGCTGGAGACGTGTTCCAAGGTAAGCAGAAAACAAAATCAAAACTTTTTTTTTTTTTAAAGTAAGAAATGGTTCATAATTCAAATAGGAATATAGACATATATGCCCATATGTTTTTATATATGATATGGAACATTTCTTTGTTAATGTGTGTGGGGTACAACCACCCATGTAGAGGCCACAGGTTGATGTTAGCCCTGGGGTCCTCCTGTCTCTGGCCCCCTACCGTAGCGTCCTTCCCATGCTAAAGATAGAGATGTATGCCATAGCACCTGGCTTTTATGTGGGGCCTGGGAATCTGAAATCTGGTCCCCTTACTTGTGCAGTGAGCATTTTACCTACTGAACCATCTCCTTGGTCCTCTCTATTCTTTTTAATTTTCAGTTATTTTTATTTTATGCATTTGTGAGTTTTGCCTACACGTGTATATCTGTGTGCCATATGTTTGTTGCCTGTTGTCTGAAGAGATCAGAAGAGAACATTGATCTTCTGGCACTGGAGTTGCTTTATAGCTGAGGATTATTTTGAACTCTGGCTCCTCCTGCCAGCACCTCCCAAGAACTGGAATTACAGATTTGTACCACCATGCCTGGCATAAAAGGCCATTTCTACATGTACAGTATTTGATGCCATGCATTTTCAATGGGAGGATGAAGAAAGTACCATTATCTGCTGATCTTCTATCTTCATGCAGGCAGTTGTGGCTCATTTGGGGTTAGAACCATGATAAAGATAAACTTGTGTATAGAACTCTAGGGCTGGAGAGATGGCTCACTGTTTTGAGCACTGACTTCTAGAGGACTTGGGTTCAGTTTCTAATACCTACATGGCAGTTCAGAACTGTCTATAACTCCAGTCTAGGGGATGCAATGTCCTCTTCTGGCCTCTGTGGGAACCAGGTACTCATGCAGGGCACACACACTTATACACTTAGATAAAATAAATCAATCATTAGAATGGTTACATAGCAGTGAAATTCTTGTGACTAGGATAACAGATAAACAGACTTTAGCTCAGCATGGTAGTACACACCTTTAATCGAGGCATTTCAAGGCAAGACAAGAGACTCTGTAGTTTGGGATCAGTCTGGGATAAATAGACTTTTTAAAAAACAGAAACGACAACAACAAAAATTAGGAAGCAAATCAAATAAAGTCATGAAGCAGCTACAGACCCTGTAGTTGCTTTCCCACCACATGTGTAGCACATGCTGTAACCCCAGCACTCATGATACCGAAAGAAGGAGGAGCTTGAGTTTGAGGCTAGCCTGAGGTGCTTAGTGAGACCCAGTCCAAAAAACAAACAAAAACCAGACCAGGATGGCTATGTATGATTTTATATTGTGCTTCGTTTGAAACAGCATTCTATCATGAATATTGTGTGGGACAAATCCCTCAATCTCTCAGCTGTTCTTTGGAGATCAAATATGAAATTACAATAGTCATGACTAAAGTAAGATAACATATTTGAAATGACTTCTTTCCCTCCCTTTATTGCTCTCTCTCTCTCTCTCTCTCTTTTCTTTCTTCTATCCCAACAGCAGTTTTCTGTCCTTCCTTTCCCCACAGCCTCTTCCCCTCACTTTCCCTCTGCCTCCTCATCCACTCTTCCATTTCTTTTCAGAAAATGGCAGACCTTCCATAGATATCAGTCAACCATGGAATATCAAGTTGTAGTAAGACTAGATACCTCCCCTCATATTGAAGTTGGATGAGGCAACCCAGTAGGAGGAAAGGCCTATTAATTAAAGTAGGCACAAGAGTCAGAGACAGCCCCTGTTCTCATTGTTAGGAGTCCACAAGAAGACCAAGCTACACAACTGTAACAAAAATACAGAGAGCCTCGGTCGGTTCTATGCAGGCTCCCTGGTTGTCAGTTCAGGCTCTGAGGCCCCTATGAGCACAGGTTGGTTAATTCTGTGGGTTTTCTTGTGGTGTCCTTGGGTTTTGGTTTTCTTGAGTCACTGTTTAGGTTTATAATTCTTCCTTCTTCTTCCACAAGCAATGTCTCTCCCTCTTGGCATGGGTCTCAGGCTGGACCTGTCATTGGTTGGCCATTCCCACAAAAATTTCTGTGCCACCTTATCCCAGCATATATTGTAGCCTTGGCTGAACTGGACTCTCTTTGTAAAGCAGGCTGGCCTTGATCTCACAGATCTGCCTCTGCCTCTTGAGTACTGGGCCTATGCCAGGGCTCTTCCTCCCCTCCCCCAATTCCTCCAACACTTCTCCCTACTTTTTTTTTTGAGATAGGGGCTTTTGCTGTATTGCCTAGGCTGGAACTCTTGGGTTCAAGCAGTCCTCCTTCTTTAGCCTCTTGTATAGCTGAGATGACAGGATGTGACATCATACTTGTATTAGATAACTTAGTTTTTGAATGCTATTTGGTATTCGATTTAACATAATCATTTTCTGTTTTTCATTACTGTAATTATGCTGTCTTAATTTGTTTCTTTCTTAATTGGAAATGGAGTATGTGCTTGAGTCATTTTCATGTATTTATCTAAATTGTCTTCAAGAAATTTATGTCCTCCAAAGAATTTTCTTTAGACTTCTTCCTCCAGTTTTGTCAATACTAGATGTTCTTCTTCTTCTGTTTATTATTTTTGTCTTATTAAAGGATGAATGAGGCACAAGTTTTATTTCTAGACTCTTCATTACAAAGTGTGTTTCAAAGGAAACCCAGTAGTACACATCATAGAGTGGATGCTGTGCAGGGAAGATTTTTGTTAGATTGTAGTATTTTCAAGTTACTTGTCTTTTCAGCACTTGGAGGTTCTGCATTTAGGTCATGGTTTAAACAGCTGTTTCAAGCTAAGGTATAAGCACAGCTATAAAGATTATAAAGATACCAGATCTGTTCTGTACACCAGATGGTGTAACTTAACTCAGATAGCATTAATCTTCTCAAACAAGTTTGCTGAAACATCTCCCAGAGGCTGGAGAGGGAGATGGTGGGGAAAGGTGTTTGAGTCCAGCCTGACAAACTCCAGCTCAAATGCTGGGGTTACATGGCAGAAGGAGACAACTGACTTGCACAAGTTGTCCTCTCTTCTCCACGTGGCTGACCCCCCCTCCCCCCCAAGAGGGGACCATACTCCTAAAGAAAACTGACTCTTCCTCTCTGGCAGCCTTTGCAGGGAGCTCCTCCACTCTTTCCCTGCTGGAATGTTCCCTGCTCTTCTCCTGTGCAAGCAGCCACAGCTACTGTGAGCTAATGAGTGCATTAGATATTTATGTACAGAAATGCTGTTTGCCTCTGGACCTTTCTCTTTTCTTTTTAAAGATTTATTACCTTTTAAAAATTGCATGTATACAGTGCAGTGCCTGTGGAGGCCAGAAGAGGGGAAAGGGTCCCCTGGAACTGGAGTTATTGGACACTGTGAGCCACCATATGGGTGATGGGAATTGAACCTGAGTCCTCTGAGAACAGCCAATGCTCTTAATTGCTGAGCCATTTTTCCAGCCCCTGGACCTTTGGTCATTCAAATTTTTCTCCTCTGCTTTTTTTTTTTGTTTGTTTGTTTGTTTGTTTTCTGAACCTTGGGAGTTTTTTTGTTTTTGTTTTCTTTTTTTAAATGTGGATGGTCTTAAGAGTTTGAAGTTTAAAAAAATAATATATTAAGAATTATCTTACAGTGAAATTAACTCTGGGGTGTACATTTGTATGGATTCTAACAGCTGCATAGATTTCTGTGACTGTCACACTGTTCAAATCTAGAGCAGGATCATGGCCACAGGCAGTTCCTTCAGAGCTGGGTTTCCCATTAATTTTTGTCTTCCTGAGAATGTTGTCTTCATGGAGTCATGCTGATAGGCTGACACAGGCCTCTTTCACTTAGGGCAATGCTCGAGCTTCATCCATGCTGTATATCAGCAGTTCGCTCCTCATTCCTCAGAGCTAGGTTCCACTTAATGGATGCACTACAGTTTTGCTTACTCATCCATTTGTTATGGAACACCATTAGGACTTTTCTGATTTCTGGCAATTATGAATAAAATTGCTGTGAACAATTGTGCAGAGGTTTTTACATAGACATAAAATTTCATTTTCTTACATTAAATTCACAGGAGTGGGATTGCTAGTATGTGTTGTAGGCATATGTTTAATTTTATAAAATACTACCAGAACTGGAGAGACAGCTCAGTGGGTAAAAGCATTTGTTGTCAAAGCCTGGCATCCTCAGTTTGGTTTCTGGAACCCATGTAAGCCAGGAGGAGAAAACTGAGTTCACGAAGTTGTCTTCTGACCTCTACATGAGTGCTGTGGCATGTGTACACACCTTTTACCTGCCCCCTCACTCACACCCACCCACCTACCATACACACACGCACACACATACACACACTCCCCTCCCCCCGCCACACACTCTCTCTCTCTCTGTCTTTCAGTAATTATTTTTAATTGAAAAGTTACCAAGCAGTTTTTAGGGTGTTTGTGCTGCTCTGCAATCCCAGGTGGCACATACGATAATTCCAGTTGTTCTATCTCTGTGTCAGCATTTGTATTGCCACTGTTTTCTTGTCTTACGATGCTGGGAATTGAACTTAGGACACCACACATGCTAGGCAAGCACTCTACCACTGAGCTATATACCCAACCCTGCTGTCACTTTTTTTATTTTAGCCGTTTTAATAGTTATGGAGTGGCATCTTAATACAGTTTTAATTTCCATTTTCCTAATGATTACTGATGTTCAACTTTTGTTTTCACTCACTGTTATATTTTCTTTGGTGAGTTACCTTTTCATGTTTTTGCCCATCTCAAATTGGTTGTTTTTAGGGCTAGAGAGATGACTCAGAAGTTAAAAGCATTTACAGCTCTTGCAGAGAAAGTGGGTTTAGTTCCCTACACTCACATGGTGGGTTACTTCCATCTGTAGCGCTAGTCGATGGGATCTGACACCAAGTCTGACCTCTGAGGGCTTCTGCATACTTGTGCTACACATATACAAACCCAGGCGCATGTAAAATACTTAAAAAAAATCTTTAAAAATAGGTTGTTTGCTGGGTGTAGTAACA